GCCACCTCGACTTGTTAAGAGAATTAAAGTTTCTGTCGGCCTCACGCTTGGCCGCCCTCATCTGTGAAATGATGGAGGGTGGCCGAGACAAGGACGCCAGCAGTGCCTGAACTGTAGATTGCAGAGCCAGGAATGACGAGTGAAGGTTTGCTTGCGCGTTTGACTGGGTGGGGACGATGGATCGCACATACGTCTCAAACGCATCTATGTATCTCGGAGGGAGGAATTGCAGCGTTGAAACAGCTCGATGAAGCAACACCGAGGAATCGTACATGTCTGGTCACCCGTTAGCTCTCATAGATCCATTGCGTCACAATGTTCGTCCAGTGTACGTACCTGCTGCGACGAGTCCGAGATTGTTGGCGCGTCTGGTCGCACTCTTAGTCGAGTAGTTCACGCTCCGTATCATTTCTCGCGCATGATTGACAAACTGCTCCACCTCCCTCACGTCCTCCACCGGTTCATATTCATCTCGCACCTTCTCTGCTCTCGCTTCTGTTTTGAGGAGCGTCCGTTGCTCCATCATATCCAACTGCAATTCTGGTACCAGGAAAAACTCCCATAACATCTCGTGCGTGGCGAAAGTTGGGTGCATTAGCATTATCTTCAAGAACCAGTCTGCGCGAGCTTGCATGTCTCGCAGAATGGCCCGCGATGGCTTCGATGGTATTTGGAACGGAGAGCGAACATCGGCGAGTGATGGTATCCACGAAGCTGGATTTTCAAGCGCCAGAAGAGTAGGGAGATGCTCGAAATCAGAGAGCGAGCGACGACTCGTTGTCACCGTGTAACTATCATGGTCCGTGGGGGCCGCTGACTTCAACACCAATCTCACCGTCGCATCTTCCACGAAGAATGCCCTGACCACACCAGTGATACGTGCATCTGGCCCAGGCGGCATGCTAAACAAGGCGAGATCATCGATCTTGTTCCGCACGTCGTCGTCCTTCGCCAGTTCAACTGCTGTGAGGCCTCTAATCTCCTTTGCCCCTACATCCACTCTGGGATCGGCGAACAGAGTACGGACCATGTCGTATCTGCCATACTTGCTGGCTACCATCAGCGCTGTGAACCTCTTATCGTTCGTCGCATTGACGTCAACATCGCAATATTGCAGTATGTTCATGGCAAGACTCGCATTGCTGACAATGTGAAGCAGTGTGTTGCCCTTGTTGTCAACATGTTCGTCAATATGGAGTGGCATTCCATCATGTTGCGCTGCAGCCGCAGCGTTGAGCCCAGCTTCCACCATTTCTAGATAGTTCTTATGATCGTAAGAGCGACAAAGAGCAAAGAGCGGAGTTTGCCCGTTCTTGTCTCTTTGTCGCCAAGGTATTAGGTGTCCGATCCGAGTGATCAAAGCCGGTGCATTGAAGAGGTAATGAGCACAGCTACGTCCCCAGATGTCTTGCTGCGCCAGATATGAAACTAATTGCTCAGGAGTTGTCGAGATGACGATAAACCCAAGTGTCAAATCTATAATTTGAGCATTGCCTAATTGTATGGCAGCACTCAGCAAGGTGGTATCTTCGTTGTTCATGTCATCTAGAACAAAAGAAGGAGAGAAATAATCGGTCAAGGAGAGCAAGTACTTGAGCGTCTCAGCACGTTCAGCTTGGATGGCCATCATCAAAACTGATTCTCCAAAGGAATTGTTTGTCTGCGACAATCGATTCACTGATATGTCCCCTTCCAGAGCACTGCCGATGGTCCCAACGCTCCCTGTGCGAGAGTGGAATGAAACCTCGGAATCGCCTGATATGCTTCGGGTGTCCATCGCTACCTTCTTCACTCGTCGTATTGGTATAGAAAAGTCGTGTGCGAGTGTTTCGTCCTCACCCTCTGCTTGGAAGGGGAATACATGGCTCAGTCCCGAACCATGAGAATAGTGTTCATAGGGTGACGGGTCGCTAAAAGAGAGACGCAGTGATGATCTTCTAGATCTTGAAGGACCTGTCAATCTTGTGTCATTTTGGAGATTCAACACTGTAGATGCTCGACGGCTGGAAGTAGGTGATTCTGACAGCTCGTCATCATCAGCAGCCCCTGAACCAGGTTCCATTATCTTTTTGAGGTCGTCCAGAGTCCCTGTCTTCGCCGCGTCCCATAGGGCCTTGTTTCTTCTGCTGGCTCGCCTTAAGCCGGCTGAGTCAAGAACAAGATAAGCCAGCACTGCCTCGAATGTACTGAGCGCATAGCCCAACTCGCCGCTGTCTACGTCGTCTATGAAGATGAAATTCCTGACGTAAATCAAGCGGGCCTGTAACTGCTTGACTTGTGATCGGATGACCACATAGAGCAAGAATGAGACCAAGGTATCCGCGTTGATAGTCATGATGGGTTTCTCCTCTGATGCATCAGATGAAGCTACTTGAGGTTTCGATGAATCCGTCAAGCGGGACACAATCTTGATAGTTGATAATAAAAGATCCAGCATGACTTGAGGGCAAGTGGCTGCAGATATCTTCTTGAATTCCTCAACAGCCGGTCCTAGTTGAATGATGAGGTCATGCTTCGCCTTCGAACCGCCATCAATGGCGATGCCCAGTTGCGAAATATCGATAAACTGCATCTTTCTTATTTTTGCTTCCAATTCGAGATCATAAGGTCTCTTCAGTGCATTGAGTCTCGGCCAAAGTTGACTGTGAACATTTTCTGTGACATAACGCTCAATCAGTTTCTCCACCAGAGGACCAGTCAAATCAGTCGTTGCGCCAAGAAGAGATAGTTGTTGTTTGTCGACCCCTTGGAAGAGGTCGATCGCAGTTGTGACTGCAGTTTCAAGAGACGCTCTCATGATATCTTCATCGTCCTCAGCATAGAAATTCTCCGTCACTGGCAATCGGCCCTCGTCGCCCGTGCTTGCCAATGCGCTATTGGAGCGCGCTCGCCTTGCAGCATTGTTGATAGATCCATTCGGTGGAGGATCTGGGATGTGCTCTGCTGACGGGGGAGGAGGTAGTGGACTTCGGAAGACGTTGCTGAACTCGACGAATAACTTTTCAAGGCCAGGTTGCATCTGGCGCGCAATCATTGGGAAATTGTTCAGGAGGTCGTGAAAGCTCTTTATATCTTTCTTTCGAGGAGCCGTGTTTTCGGTCGACTCAGCGTTCGGTGTCTGTTTCTGATCGGGAATCCTGCGCTTTCGTACACCGGGGACCAAGATGGCCGGTGTAATCTTGTTCTCCTCCCAGACGCCCACGAGGGGTCTCGATATATAGTAGAGGAGCCATTGCCGTGGTTCGAAGACGTCGGGGTAAAAGACGATGTCGTTCAGAAGCTGGGCCTGGGCGAGCGTTTTGAAGCCTATCCTCGGTTAATAACGTCGTTTTTGGCCAGTTCTTGGCTCCGCACCTTTGTTACTGTAAATGAAAGCGTCCTTGATGACCACACTCTTGCCATTCAACGTTGTAAACTGCTTCGCCTTTCCTCTCACCTCCCTCAAGTTCTGGGCACCATCTTTGCCTCCTGCGACGCCATTTGGAGATGGCACACGGAGAACGTGACTGGCGAGAAAGTCCTCCGATGCGATGACCTCAGCAGGGGCGCTCCCGCTCTCGGTCTCGCGGAATGTGAGAAGCACATCCGTTGACGGAACCAGTAGGATGTGGTGATGTACTGGGGTGCACTGGCTGGGAAGGGAGCTCTTAAAGAAGGCGGCCAGGAAGGGGTTTAGAGGTTGCATTCATTCGACTTGTGACCGGCCGTCTCGAAGCTCACTCGACCTCCCTAGGTCGCAACGTTGAGGATGGTATCTGGATCGAGTTTGGGTGCCGTTTATATAGATCGTGGACGGACCGAGCGGGATGGTGACACATGCAGAATGAATGCTGTTTGATCGTGAGAGATTATTATCGGTGAATATAACTAAGTCGCAGTAGCACTCGGGCTAAATTTCATGATACGGCGATGAGGCATTCGACGGCGATAACGATAGCGATAGCCCACTTATTGGTGGAAAGGAGCTATCTGGAAGAAGCGTATGACGATGACGTGAGTGAGGCTGTAGAGGAGATGTGTCTTTGTTCTGCACGAGTCGGTAATTGCTGGAGAAGCTGTAGCGAGCGAAACGCTTGGCTAATACGTAAATCGTCGATCGTGATGTAAGATCCCTAGTCGAGATTGTCGATGTCTGTTGGGAGCTTCAAGAGGGTGCGCAACAGGGCACGTTGCGATCACTTCAGTGAGATCGACAGAGGCTTAGATGTATAGGTACTCGAGCTAGGGACGAACTTGGTGGTATATCGGTGCAGAATATAAGAAAGATATGTACAGGAACCCAACACTGTGGTCGCCCGCCAGCCCGCTCCCGAGCTCTCCGCACGGGCCCCTGCAGTTCCCCTGAACTTAAAACGGGGAATCAATAAGTCCGACCAGGAATGAGGTATCACATGTGACTGTGAATAGCATCATTGACTGACAAGGAGATTGTTGTACCACATTAATATTGTTAGAAAAGTTACTATATACGTCTCAGGGAACTGTATTGAAAGTAAGCTGATATTTTTTATTACCACTAAGCAGCATATCAACGACTTACTCACCATGGACAATACCAATTCTGAGATTCTCCATGCGATGATGGATTGTAGTCGACAAATAGAGCAGCAGGCCGTCTTGGCTTATGATAGAAGAACGACAAAGTAACAAAACTCTTGCCCCTACAACTCTATCCAATGCTCATCTTTGTTATCTGAACAACTCCTCGTCTTTGACTGAGTATAAGGTGAACAAGTATCGGGGTGAGAACAAAGAGAATTGCTCATTTGAGCCTGGTAAATTATTGATACAAAGAAGACACTTGAATGTTCAGTATTTCTATTCATATGAGCCATTGGCGAAAGACGTGCTCATCTGAACAGTAAAAGGAAATGTTTCTCATATCATCTGCCGATTTATATAAGGGACCACGACTCTATGATATACCAAATTCCGTTAATTTCGACTTACAGATGATCATGATGTCTCACAGTCACAAGCTTTCAACCCCAAAAATCAACATGCTCAAGGTCTCTCTCTGCGATAAGTTTCGCTCACTGTTCGGAGACAAGAAAGTGACCCTTGGTCCTGACCTCCCAGACTCTTACCCCCTTTACATCACTCATGATCTTGTCAGGTCTGCTATGAACGTCATCGCCGACAGGAATATTCCATGGCCTATTGATCCCGAATACCGTGTTGAGATGGTCATGGTCAAGGTTCCACTCAGCTTCTGTCCGCAAAACATGGTCAAGGCAATGCCCATTGATCGCACGGGAAGATATACCTATGCTGCTGCTATTGCTAAAGCAAGGTTCCGGCGAACCCCAGAGCACCCCCGGTGGTGAGCTCGTTGCGCTCGCCATGGCGAACTGGAGTGAGATGGCTGTGGGCTTCAGCCTAGAGCCTAGAGAGCATGTCTCTGTTGTCCCCCTGAACCATCGTACACATAAGAACGAGGGAACTAATTAGACCCGGCCAGAGATATCGTTTCCAACGGTGTTCAATATGGCAAAGGCTAGATAAAAATGGAGCAATGGAGTTGCAATCTACTTACATATACAGTTTTTCCTCTCTAAAACTTTAAACTGACCCTTCGTGACGAGTGATATTATGTGCTTTCTATGTTTTGTGCCTCGTCCTCTCACTCTGAGAGTGCAATTTTGTAGGCTACCTACCTATTGGATATCAATGTACAACATATGGAGATAGAGCAACAAGTGATATTTGATTGTAATCGTAAGCTAAATAGGTATCATGAAAAGCCCAACGTCGTAAACCGACAGTTCCATAATTTCACAGATTCACATCAGAACCAAGCCCACACCTTCTTCCACCAAGGCGTTTGGCCAGGGACTTCCCTTTCTGTTGGGCCACTCTTGTAATCAAGATCCTTTCTTCTGCCACTGTCGAGATCGATGCTCCAACTACGCTTGAGAGGATCCTTTCCGCGCCATAAAAGCTTGCAGAATACGTAAATGATACCAAACAGTGGCACCAGGATATAAGCATCCACAAAGTTTCCAGCATTAAACGGCGATAACGTAGTCCACCCTTGAACCAAAGCCAAGAAGATGCAAGCCCCGAGACCAAACCAGGCGAGGTATGGGAAGCCGAGTGCCTTGTACGGAAGCTCATCGAGACTGCGACCCTGAGTGACCCAAGCCCGACGGAAGCGGATATGGATAAAGCAGATGCTGCCCCAGACAAGGAAAGCACTGACACCAGACAGGTTGACGATATAGCTGTAAGCCTTGGAGGCACCAGTAGAGACATTCATCATAGAGATAGAACCGACGGCATTGGTGATGAGAATTGCCCATACTGGAACGCCTCGGCTGTTGGTCCAGCCAAATATCTTAGGAGCCTTGCCAGACTGCGCCATATAGAAAACAGTTCGAGAGCCAAAGTAGATGGATGAGTTGATAGCGGACAAGCAAGTAAGGAGAATGAAGGCGTTAATAAGGTGGACGCCTGGAACTTTGTTAGTATCCTGCAGGAGAGAGAAGTTTACGCACGTACCTCCTTGCCAGCCAGCATTCTGAATCGCAATGGTCATGGGACTCTGAAGGGCCTTGGAACCTCCGTTCACCAGTCCCTCCGCATTAGCAGGGCAGGTGATTCCGAAGAAGAAAGCTGATCCCATATAGACGAAGATAATACGCCAAAAGACCTGTCGAATAGCCTGCGGAACTGCCACACCAGGGTTTCTCGTTTCAGTAGCAGCCACAGCGATAGACTCAACACCAGAGTAGAATGTCGAGCAGAACACGAAGACAGATGCAACGCCACGGAAGCCATTCCCGTTGAAAGCTCCGGGGTCACTCCAGTATTTGAAGCCAACAGATCCATCCTGACCGACCAAACCACCAGCAGCGTAGATAATGGCGAAGACGAAGTATGCTGTTAATCCCAGGAGTTTCATAAGCGCAAGCCAGAACTCGGCCTCGCCAAAAGCTTCAACACCCAGAAGTTGAAATCCCATGAAAACTGTCCAGAAGATGAGAAAGTAGCCCCATAGGGGGACGACTGGTCCCCAATATGTGAGAATACTGCAGATGACATTGTACTCGTTGGCGAGGACAGCAGCCCAAATAACAAAGTAATTCCAACCTACGGCGACAGAAAAGGACTTGTCTACCATGCGTTCGGCGAGAGAGATGAAAGAGCCTCCGCCAGGGTATAGTGTTGTCACCTCGCCAAGGGACTGCATAATACAAAATGCGATGATACCTGTCAAGAATTAGCATTGGACTTTGAAAAGACTTGAAGACTGAATAGAGCCATGTGGTGCCATATCTTCTTCAAGATCCTGGAAGCAAGGAGTATCATACCGACAACACCAAATCCAATGAGCAATGCAGCCGGTCCTCCGACATTCAATGCACCACCTGCACCAACAAGAAGTCCAGGTCCGATGATACCAGCCAAAGCCATCATAGACAAATGCCGATTCTTCAGACCACGCTTGACGCCAGAATCCGGGTCTATAGACTCGGCCTCTTCTGTATCATTCAAGCGTCCAGAGTCATAGTTATGCTCAGACGGACCATCGCCAGCGACGACATCTTCATCCTTATTGTGGTTGAACGCCATACTGGCAATGACAACCTCTGCAGACAAACAGGGGTGCGAATCAGAGGTGGCCGCCAAGAAAGATAAGCTGTTGATGTATAGACGTAGCCGCTGGAATGGGAAGAGGAAAAGTGTCTCGGGCCCACGGAGATGTACTGTATATAAAACTTCAGTAAAAGACTTGCAAGAAAAGTCGAGATAGAGTAGACGCTAGTTTAAGAGGCGACAGGATGGCAATTATGCCATCATCAAAGGGCCCGCCAATCTAACGCAGGCGAGCGTAGGGTTCTGCACCCAGGAGTAGGGATCGACCCGCTCTTGATGGGTTCTCGAGAAGCTATCCTCGTTGGGTCTTATCTGCTGGTCAATGGAGGTTGGGATGGCAGCGAGTAAGAGGCCTGTGGTACCCTGAAAGGATGGGTATCTTCTGGACCTAGGACTCAAAGAACCCTAGTCTCGCAAGATAGAACCGTGTGACTGCATAGTTATGCATCTTGTTCTGTAATTTTCATATGTCTCTCTTTAATGTTGAGGATCTGCTGCTCTCTGGTCCCTTGTAAAGACCCCCACACGAATCTGTATGTGGCTTCTTTGCTTTTGGATCTATCGTTCTCAATGCATTTGTGGCGTTCTAAACCTGGGGTTCTCTTAAAACGCAATAAACACTGCTGATCACGACATCAAAATATCCCGCAGGAAGAGTTTGCAAACCATAAAAGTGGTACATCAGTGGAGATTTAGAGATTGCTAGCGTCAAGTACTGAAGCATTGGATCCTTGAATGAACCCGAGAATGAAGAGGGTGCTGTAACAGGAGTTTAGATCTCGGCCGTGTAGAATTACCTAACTTTAAGACATAGGCTGTAGGTTATTCGCTAGCCAAGATCCTGTTCGTTTATGCTTCAGCTAAAGCAGCCCTGTTCAATTGTGCCATATTTATCCGTTATGACGATTCTCAGCCAGAGACAACGCCAACGTGGGATTTTCATTTTTTGACATCCAACATCCAATCACATCCTCCTTCTGTTTCAGCTTGTCTAATTTAAATGTCAAGCTTTTCCAAGACACTATTTCACATGCCGAGCTAAGCTGCCGCCGATTGCCCGGACCATCGGCGCCGTTGGCTCCACATCGCCGAATCCGAATGGGCGGGCCGATTCCGTAATTACTAGAAAACAACAAAGATCAATAAACACAGAACCTTAGAAATCGTGGTTTAGACATATTAGACTCCAAAGTTGGAAGATCAGAGACGTATGGTTCTGTTCTTGACAACATAAGCTTGTCTTGCGACTGCAGCCAGCACCTTGGACGATTGCTTTCCTTGGGGGCTGGGGATGAAAAAGGAATTCATTTGGTACATAAAATAGAATAAAATAAAATGAGAAGAAAAAGAATGGACTACATTTGGCCTACGCCTAAACTGATGCCCAGTGCTTCTGCAAACATGCTCTTGCTTCTCAGATCTTGCTCGTCTGTATCCTCCTCATCTTAGACCTCGACATCACCAAGTATCTCCTCAAAAATCTCCAAATTACCCTCACCTCTACGATCATACACAGCAAACCAAATCTCTTCCCACCAGCCACCTTGGAACTCGGGCTCCTTCAACACCTCCAGCCAACAACGAGCGACCTCCTCCGGCGGGTTTCTAAACGCGCCGCATCCCAAGGCACCAAGTACAAGCAAGCCGTGGTTTCGTCGTGCTGCCATTCGAAGGCATAATCTCATCTTGAGTTTGGTGAGATCGCGATCAGCTCGATGTGCGTAGGTCTTACTGGTCACAGGACCTTTGGGTGTATTCAACACAATGTCCCTGACGGGTGGTGTGCGTAGGGCTGCGATACTGAGAACGCTGACGACGGGCAAATTCTGAGCTTGGATAGTAGGCATGAGAAGTCGGTGTCCAGTTTCCTGGTCGGAGCGGATAATGACAACATCAGGGGTATATATTCCCATGCGTTGCCTCCATGGGTAATATCTTTTGTGTAGCGAAAGATACAACGAGCTTCGATAGCATAGCGCTTCTTCTTGAGCACGCGCTCCTTTCAACCATCCTCCACCACGGCTGATATGGCTTGCCATATTCAGCACTGCAACACGACCTGATGCGGGTCCTTTGAGATTCGCAAGTTGTATAGCCGCGTTGAAGCTGTCATCGTTGGAAATCCTGATAATCGCTTTCCCTGATGGTGTCCGCCTGGGACATTCGGCAGCTGTAAGCGGTGGTAGTTGGTGGATCTCAAGCTTCTCTGATCTGGAGGGGTCGAGATTCGGCAACTGAGAAATGATACCAGGGAGGACATCCAGCGTTTCCCTTGCTGTAGCTGCGAGCGCGGCACCGCGTCTGTATGGATCGTCTTGTCTATTTCTGCGAGGATATGGGTGCTGGTTCGATGAAGCCCCTCTTGCTTGAGGTGTTGAAGCAACTGGTCTTGATGGTGTGGACTTTATCCACGAATCAAGCGTTCGCTGACCTCTGTTGGACGACATCATACGACAGCTTTTCTGGATTTTTTATTCGGGTTAATTTGAGACGTTCGTTGAAATTCGCTGGTGGGAGTTTTGTTTTGCAGGTTGTGAGTTTGAAGATGGTGACTGAGTATATGTCCGTTTGTGAGCTCAGATAAAATACTAGGCAACAGTGGCCCCAACTAACACCTATTCACCAAAAAACTCCAAACGACGATAGAGTCACGAGCCTGAACATAAACACAAGGAGAATTTGAAATTGCCTGTGATTGGTCGACACATCTTTCCAGGAGTCATTAGGTTTTACAGATAAATCATTTTATAGCCTTGACCCAGTAACGAACAATAAATGGAATCCATGTATTCCAATAATAACCACAAGAGTATCGACCATAAAGTCTCTATCTAGCCAGACTGAAGTCTCAATAAACTTAATCAGTAAGGCACAGATAATCATTTTCTCATCCATTCACCAGTAACGTAGGCTTTGTGCCACAGAAGCCAGTAAACTCATTCCCTAAGCCTCGTGTTCACAACACATACGGACAAATATATCTTTACACCGGGTTTTCGTCCAAGCTCCATCCAGGGTATCAAAACATCCAGTCAGGTGGTACATATTCATACAAATTTCAAGTGCACATGCAATCACGCAGGTGTCTTGATTGCTCCCTCTGGGACCTCATCCGAAGCCTCAAACTTTCGGGGGATAAGACCATCAGCGTCATTAATGGCTCCCTCCATATTGTCCTTATGGAACAGGAACAGTCCCTGAATTGCCGCTGTGCTTGTGTGACGGTTCGATGGCTTGCCATCAGGCCCAACGCCGAATAGACCCAGCTCTTGGAGCCTGTTGAGAAATCGTTCTCGGCCGGAATGATCTTTATCAACGTCTCCGTAGAATCGATCCCACATCTGAGCAGCCTGGAAGTGTGTGGCCTCGCCGATGCGAAGCATCAAATCTACACGGCCAGGTCGGATGAGCGCAGCATCGAGACGGTCAACGTGGTTGGTTGTTAGGAACGCAATGCGCTCCTCGCCAGCAGCAACACCATCGAGAGCGTTTAGGAGACCGGAGAAGGTAACAGTGGCACCGTTGTAGCCATCGGAGTCCCGCTGGCGCCGGTTCACAAATGCTGCGTCTGCATCTTCCAGCAGAAGCAAGCTCCTCTTGGGAAGTTTTGTAAGGAGATAGGCTAGCTTATCATCCGTCATGCCCATCTCGCTGAGGTTGATCATGGCCACGCTAAAGTCCAGCTCTCCTGCAAGGGCTTGAATGAAGGATGTCTTTCCACTACCTGGAGGACCATATAGCAGATAGCCTCTTCGATATGGAATACCCCGATCCACATACCATTGTTGCCGATTCAGGAAGTCTTTTACGTCACCCACGATACTCTCTTTGACGCCGTCATTCAGGATGACGGAACCCAAAGGTCGCTTCTTTCTTGGATCACCCAGCGGTACCCAGTCCATTCCTCGAGCCGAGTACACAATAGTCTTTCCCTCATTCGCCTTGGCTGCCAACTGATGCGCCTCGCTGAAAACTGACTCGAAAACATGCCGATGCGCCCATAACGTAGTCAATTGAACAATCTCGTGTGGTTCGCCAGTATTCATGTTCGCCGTATTGTGCTTTTCTCTGTTCACAGCAATGTACGCATTGCCGAACTTAACGATATGTCGTCCGAAGCCTGGCTGTAGGAAGAAGTGCGCATTCTGGGGTCCACTAACCCCAGCCGTTCGAGATGCAGTCGTCGTCGTAACAGAGAGATTATGTATTCGTGTGAGGCGAGAAGCAATGAAGCCTGGGTGTTCGCGAGGCTGTGACAACCATGCTAGGATCCATGGGTATGCAGGATCTTGCTTACTGATCTCGACATTGATGAGCAAGCGACGACGAGCTGCTCCGAGTGCAGAGATTGCGCCTTTCCGTGCAAAGGCAGCGACTGCTCCCAGTGATGCAAGACCGATTCCACCAGCGAAGAGCGGATTCTCGAACAACGCGTTGATGTTGAGCCCTGAAGTTGCTGCTGCGGGTTGTGCCGTTTTTTCGGCGTTGGGGAAGCTTTTGAGGGCTTCCTTGAGAGTTTCCTCGTCCATCTTCGGCGAAGGGATGGCTTAGTGAATAGTTTAGAAGGTGACACTGAGCTTATCACATTGGATCTGGTCGGCAGAGCTCGCGAGAGGGCATCGGTAAGATTAGTTGACAATGTTATGGCGATGCTCGAGACGATAATGAGCTTTCTCGGCGACCCTCTTTTTTTTTCTACGTCGTTGCACGTGAACGAGATCTAATCTTCACGTTGCCCGGCAAGAATTGATGTAACATATTGAGTGTGAAAAGATAATCGAGTAAAATTATCAGTGTCAATACTAAGTCATGGGATATGTATTCCATCATCCGGTTGTGATTGATTGATAATTTATAGATAAGTGACTCCCTGCCTGGTTTGCATTACCAGACATTGTCTAGAGAGTATTCTACAGGATTACGGCTTGACATAGGTATGAGTATGCAACTCTAGATTATAAATACAAGTATAGAAAGCGATATAGTATAGATTTATTTTAAAGGACTGTGTTAAGGAATTTATTACTATATATTTAAAATTAATAATACCTAGCTATCTTGCTCTAGGGTAAGTAACTTGACTATACTAAGGGCTCTTGAGTATAATATCTACGACTACTATAAAAATCATCATACCCTCCTCCTAACAAGATCAGCAAAATGCAAAAAATCAACAACTGATAGGCATTGGAAGACAATGCTCCCGCCAGGGCTTGAACCTGAGACCTTCGCATTACCGAACACTCGGATTGAAGTATTAGTACGACGCTCTAACCAACTGAGCT